CTAGTCTTTAGTCTCCCAGCGAGGCTACCGATGGATTCCAAATCCAAAAAATGTATAAGTCTTTTAGGAAAATAGAGAATTTATTTGGGGCAGGACAGGTATGTTTACTTTCACCACCAATGCTGAATAGTTAAAGTACCAAAAATCATAAAGAGCCTACTGCAAAGTAGCCACCTTGTGGTAAAACATATTGATGAATGCTCATTTAGACCTATTATTAATCATAAGGCTCAAATATGTTTTGTGGTCCCAGACAGATTTTTTTTTCTTTTTTACTATTTTTGGTCAAAAATGTCTCTTTTGATAATGAAGGTTGCTGACCCGTGCTTCGGTGTGACAATACTCTGATATCAAGAGAGATGCGTTCTACATTTACTTAATTTTATTTCCTTTATTTTAACCAAAAGTGTTATAAGAGGGGACCTGGCTGAGGGGGCAGCATTACAATACATAGACAGGCTGGGACAACTCACACACAGAGTATAAAATATCAAGTTAAGATGTATGAACGTCAGAATTTTAAACTGAGCAACATCGTTTTTAAAGTTCTAAACCCACCTAATGACATTTGATTTTAACATTCATTTTGTTTGCTTCATCTTTGCTCATAAGAAATCACCAGGTGAATCTTGGACGTGCTGGGACATCCGTGTGCTTCCAGGACTAATGCCAGTCAGAAGATGTTAACGTATTCTGTGAGGAAGAAGGTGATGCTCTCTCACTAAAACACACAGCAGTTATTTCTGTCACCAGTTGGGGCCACACATGGGCACACAACATTTTAACAGTGGCAGTGACAGCTAACTCCTGCAGAGTCATGGTTATATTGTTATAGTGTGTTTGTGGCCTGTGAGACTGAAAACAAACTATTTAAATTACATTAGTAACTCACTCAGTGTTTGATCCTGATTTCCTGATGGCTGATAGTAAAAAAGTTAATTTTGTGCCATAATTAACTTTTGAAACTGACAATTATAAAATCCCACAGGCTAATATAATAAAACTCTAAAACCACCTGATAAATGTTTTATTGCAGGACAGATAAGTCAATTTTAAATAGTTGCCTCAAAGTCTTTATAATCTGTACAGCATACAATACTCTCTATCCTTAGGAGGAAAAAATCCCCAAAAGAAACTTAAACAGGAAACATATATAATAATGGATAGACATTTTTGTAATCTTGCTCTTAATCATTTTAAAATCTAATATTTATATTAAAAAAAGCATCCTCTTCCAGTGGAGCTGTGGGCTCTATGACTCCTATAGCCGGTGGACCACCCAGCTGACCACATTGACTTTGTGGTCAAAGGGCTTGTACACTCTGGCGTGAAGTCTCTGACACGAGGGAAGTCATTAGTCTTCATTAGCAACTTCCAGGAGTTTCTTATGAAGTGCTGTGAAGTTGTCATTTGCCCCCTTTGCCAGGCAAGCTAGATTTGAGGTTTGTTTTCTTATGTGGTCGACCAAATGTGAGCTCCCCCGGCCCCCAGTCGCTGCATGTAGGATCTCGATCACTGTGGTCAGGAATGCAGAGAGGACACTGTAACTGAAAAAAAGCAGCTTGTTTTTTATTGTGGAAGATGTAAAATGACAAGTAACGATAAATAAATAAATGTATAGATAAATATAGGAATAGAGACATAAATAAAAGAATAATACATGCTAAAATTAATTTGGAAATAAATAAATAAATGCTTAAATAAACAGAAATAAATAACTGTAGTTGTACAAACATGTAGAAATAAATTTAAGATATTTATTTGTTTCCTGTTTGATTGTGAAAATGTATTTAGTTATTTATGCATGCATTTATCTATCCGTTTCCATTTTTATTTCAACATGTATTTAAGCATATATTTATTTCTTTATTCATTTCAACATTTATTTCAGCATTTATTTATTCTTTCATATGTATCTTTATTTATTTTTACTTTTTTCTTTTTTTTTCTATTTATGTTTATTTATTCCTGTATTTATTTATACATTTATTTATTTCCATATTTATCCCTGTATTTGTTTATTCATTTATTGACAGTTAAGTGTATTTTTTCTTCTTATATTATAATCAATGCAAACCATGAAGAAAATTGGCCTTTAACCTAAATTTATATGGGAGTATTATTTGTGTGCAGACCTTTAGATCAAACTTCTCTGCTGTGCCTTAAACCTGATATGACATTATGAATCCTCTCTAATCACAGCACAGCATCTCAAAGCGATTGAAGTAAAATCCCAATCGACCTGTGTCAGGTAAAGGCATTCCTCCTGCCATGCGAGATTGTTCAGTCTCCTGTGACATCATGTTGTCTCCAGCCATGGGGCTGCTATCTCTGCAAACCCCTCAAAGTGGCCAATTAAGCATCAAAAGGGCATGCTGCATGGCTAATGTGAGCGAAAGGTGTGAGATTTCTCGTCAGTCCACTCCGGGGGCTCTTTATTGGGCTGCTAGAGAGCCGTCTGATCCCCGGGCCCTGGCTGTATATTGGCAGCTGTTAACTGTGGAGCACAAGGAGGATCTGTGCAGTTAAAGCAAATGGCCAAAGACTGACACCTGGGAGGTGGAACATTACTGCTAAAGGTGCTCCAGGAGTAGACACAGGAAGGAAAGCCACAGTGGAATCAGGCATAAGATATGGGGGTTCAGTTTAAACAGGAGGAATCAGCTGTTTATCTGAAGATGATCAGTCCCAAAGGATTCCTGTCATCCCTCGTTATTCATTCTAAAATGTTATCAGGTAGCTAAATGCATGTAGTATATTTCAGGCCTTTTACAAAATCCACCATTTTTGGTTGGCAGTCCTTATAAGTCTCCTCCAGATGACCTCCCTGGTGTCTCATCCAGTCCAAATCAACCCCAGGCTGGCTGTTACATAAGCCAGAGCTCCCTGTCATGCCTCTCTGTCCCACTTGTGTCCCGAGGCCATACAGAGAGGCCCTTTACCAGTCACACCTGTCACCTCCAAACCCAGCGCGTAATGGGATTGACACTGCCGCTGCTGAAATGTACACCTCAGCTCAGACACCGACACACTCCACTGCTGGAAGCTGAAGTGACTCGGAGAGTAGTTGATCATCAAAATCTCTCTATATTCACTTTAATCTCTTTATTTCTCACGGTGTCTTCCTCCTAAACTCTTGCAGAGCTGTGTGACCCCTGTTCCCATGCAGGGTCCCAAAGAGCTGGCTTAAGTGCTAAGCGAGGACAGCAACACTGAACCTGTGATTAATAACTCCTTGGCAACAGTTGGTTTCACATAAGGGGGATAAAAACACATCGCGCTTCCTCAAGGCCAATGTTGTGTCACTAAGCTCCACAGAGAGAAGGGGGATGCAGCATCAGGACATTTAAAATGAGCAAATGACCATACAAAGATCTCTGCATCTTTAAGTGCATCATTACAAGCTGAGTGTTATTATCCTTTTTATTCTGCATTGACCGCACACAGGAGCCTTAAAGAGGCTGGTCAATATTTTCACAGCAAAGACTCTCTAGCACTGAACATCTCTTTGTGCTCACTTAACTGCTGATTTTACAGAGTGCTGTGCCACCTTTAAGACTCTGAGACTCTTTCTACACTGCACACATTGATTGTGAAATCCTACATCATGTATTGCATATGGTTTTAGTACGGAAACATATCCATACAGTTACACAGATCCTTTGTGTGTGAGTGTCAGAGAGCTCACAGAAGGTATTGTATGCAGCATGCAGACATGAGAATACAATGAGAAGTGGAAGTGGTGCGTTGATGCTAGAAAAGAGGTTGAATGAGATGTGAAAAGCCACCTCAATTCAAATGTTCATGTCAGTGGAAACAAGAGGGGGACTGTGGTCTAATTTTGTTCCTCTATGCTAACGCCTGCAGCGTTTAGCATTTGTTTTGCCTGCGGTAACGCGGCACGATACAGGCGGAGACAGGCCCTATGAATGACACCCGTGGATTTTGCCCTGGATGTGGATGGTGGGAGGACGTTGGGGTTGTTGTGGCAGGTCTTTATTGTCAGACCCCTCCTGTCCCATTCAAGGCTGACTTGGGCTTGTGGTGCTAACTGGCTGTTAATTGCCTGCCTATACACAAGGCTTTCTCCACATGCAGAAACTAGCTGCTTCAAGGGAAACTAGCCTAATGAGATTATCTATCAGAGCATGGGCCTGTCTAGACACCCCAATACACAACCCCCCCCACCTCAGCACATCCACTACTGCATGCAGAGGCCTCAGAGGATGCCCTCAGGTAAAAGTTACCTGCAGAAACAGTGCATGGTATCATTACACCATTATGGGTTTACACCCACTGTGTAATTTCTATTATGGAGAAAGCTGAGAATGTAGAAGAGTGTAAAGGCAATCGTATATTTGATGTGGAAAAAAATAGTCCTTTATTTTTACCTAATTTCAGTAAATATGAAGAGCATATGCGATAATAAGTGTTAGAATAATTTATGTACTTTGAGAAAACTCTTGAAAATGCTGCTATTTTTAAGAGAATAACAACTCCTCCAGTGCACACACAAAACACACAAAATTCTCCCATTTAAAAATATCCTCCACTGCATTTCTATTAGTTCTGGTAGATGTGTTACACTGGGTGTTAACCACATTGCACAAACACACTAAATGCCATTTTACCGTATAGTTATGTCTGTGTGAATGATATTTACACAGATTCTGGTGCCGCTGTGAGCCCCACTCTGCGGCAGGGAAGTGCGTCCATATTTGTTTTAAAGTCTCTTAGCAGTTAATAAAGATGCATTTCCTCCATCCCCCTTCCTGTGGGGACGGTATCAAGGCTCTGTTAAGTCTCTTTGATTTCCAGCACCCTCCAATCACAGCGGGGCTCGGACTCATCATTGTGCCACTTCAAAGCCAGGGAATGGCTCTCCTGACCCCACCCACACCAGGGCTCCCCTTAAAAAGTCATGGTCACCACTTCTGGCAGGACTCCTGATCTCTGAATTACCCGCAGCAACAAGACTGACTGACCCCCTGACTCCCTGAGCTGCTGGATATCTTTTTTTTCGCATGAGGCAGGGGATCGAGAAGGGAGAGCACTTGGATATCACAAATACTTGGATTGTTTATTGGCCCTCAGTGCATGAACCTGTATTGAGCTTTTCCTGTGATACAACTGAACCTGAGCAATGCAGTCCATCAGAGGTGAGTGTTTCATTGGATTTACGCTGGGCTTTCTATCAGTGACTCTAAATCCGCAACCACTTAAGCTGTTTTGTCTGATCATGAGCATACCTTTCTTGATCCTGACTTCTATCTCTTTGAAGGAAGCATGTGGTTATGATGATTTTTTTATTTATTTATAGACTTGAAGCCCAACTTCAGCGGCCCTCCTCCCTCCTCCATGGCCGCTGGCCCCGATGCCTATTTCCAAGGCAACATCAGGATGACTCTGGAGGACCCTGAACTCTGGAAGACCTTCCATGAAATTGGAACTGAGATGATTATCACTAAACCGGGCAGGTAAGGTGACACAATGTAACCTTTAAATGCAAAATGTTTTGAAGGTTGTGCCCTGTGTTGTTGCTTTTGCTCGTCTTTCTCACGTGTTCCCCTTTTGCTTTTTCCAGGAGGATGTTTCCACACTGTAAAATTAATCTATCCGGCCTTATTCCATGTGCCAAGTACATCTTACTGGTTGACATGGTCCCTGAGGATGGCTTCAGGTATAAGGTAAGATTATTTTTTATCACTTATCGATGAGTCTCATGGTAACTTTCACCATCAGTTGAGAAAAATAAAATTTCATCCCATGACAATTAAAAAATAGCCTTCAATTACCATAGGCTGTAGGTGGTTACCAGTATCCCCAGACAAGACATCCCCTGTTTATCACCCCCCCTCTCCCCTGACATTGTACATCAAAGGGTGCTATCTCTTCCTGTTTTTCTATCCCCTGCTGGGAGCCCACTGTACTACCCCCTATCTCCATGGGTGGTACTGGCCAAGCAGTCGGCTCTCCACTCTCCTCTCACACTCTGAGAAGGAAAGAAGATGCAGCTCCTTCTGTATAACACCTTTCTCTGTGACAGACTGACTGACTATCTGTCTCCTTCCTACAGTGGAATAAAGAGAAATGGGAGGTGGCAGGGAAAGCGGAGCCCCAGCCTCCCTGCAGGACATACCTCCACCCCGACTCTCCAGCCCCGGGGAGCCACTGGATGAAGCAGTCTGTCTCCTTCCTCAAGCTCAAACTCACCAACAATACGCTCGACCAGCATGGCCATGTAAGTAAGAGCACTTGAAATTGGGTGCTTAACAACAACTTTCCAAATGATATCCACACTGCTCGGATAATTGAAGTCCTTGGTGGACTCTTACAGACTTGATGCTTTAGAAGCGGCAAAGTGCATACTTGTAAAAGTGCTTAAAATGTACAAAAAAGTGCTCTGAATTAATCAGCCTCTTTATATCTGTAGATCATTTTGCACTCCATGCATCGCTACCACCCACGCTTCCACATCGTCCAGGCAGATGACCTGTTCAGTGTTCGCTGGAGTGTTTTCCAGACCTTCACCTTCCCCGAGACTTCCTTCACAGCGGTCACAGCATATCAGAACACCAAGGTCAGTTTTCTGTCACTGCAAACCAATGAAAACCGATGGCCGGACACACATTATTGAGATTTTAACTGATTTGATTTCCCCCTCAGATCACAAAGCTGAAGATCGATCACAACCCATTTGCAAAAGGTTTCCGGGACGAAGGCACCAACAAAAAAAGGTAGGTGTCACACTACTCACATGCAGCACCTGATGATAACGGCTGCACAGCTGGAGGGGCCATACAACAATTCCAGTTTGGTTTGATCTACGGATTTCCTTTGCAGTGAATTGGACGTTATTGCATTGTTTTAATGATCCTGATGTTCCTCCACAGGCGTTCAAACAAGAATCCTGCCTGCCTTGAGAAGCGAGCCAAGATGTCAGACATTTTGAACAGAGACTCAGAGGAGGACAGTCCACCAGGTACACCTTTAAGACTCTATCTCCTGTCGATGTTTGTACTTTGTTTTCCTGTAATCCCAAACTGATGTGATAAATTGCATCCTCTCAGATTTCTGCCGCTCATCGTATGAGGGTTATGACGCAGAGGAAGGAGACCTGCCTAAAAGGAAGGAGGATGATGGCGTCAAAGAGGAGCGTTACTCTCCGTGGACTGCTGAGAGGGAGCACAATGTGAGGACTGAATCTCCCGCTGGGGCAGACCCCAGGGACATGTACAACACAGAGCAGCTTGTTCCCGCTCCGGCTTCCTACCAGCCATACAGGTGAATATTGGTAAAGTTAGACAACAAATAGGTACAACACATTGTCATGATAAACAAAACACTCACCACCTTCCTTTTACCCTTCAGGTTCCATGAGTATGGAAAGTCCCCCTCTCCCTCCTCCAGTGTCGGCAGCAGCAACAGTGGATCAGGACGCAGCAGCTTTGAGTCCAGAGTCCCTGACATCGCTACTGTCCCTGACCATGACTCTTCAAAGCCCCGTACACATGAGGTTGGCCCTTCCCCTTGTGGCCCCCAGCACCTCCCTGCCCACCAGGACTACACCGGTGTCCTCAACATGACCATGGCTCAGGCCAGCAAGCCAGGTGTGATCAGCCACCACATCTATAGTCCATACAGTGCCGAGCAGCCCCTCGGCCAGTGGAGCAGCCCCGGCTCTGCTCAGTATCCCCCTCCTCACCACCTGACCGCTGACTACACCACGCAAGCTGTGCACCATGGTTATCACCATGGCAACGTGGCTGAGTGGAGCCAGTACCCACTGTTCTCTTACTCCTGCTGGTGAAGAGATCTTCAATGACTGAGAGTGACTTTACTGATGCTACCACTACTGCTGCTGCCATCCTGACAGAATGCTGATCCAGTGCTCACAGCTAAGAGAATGCATGCCCAGTCCAGACTGAGGGCCAGAGGCCTGCGACAACAATAGAAAAACTGAAAGATGAGAAGAAGTTTAAGGAGCCGCCTTCTGTTCAGACTGGAAGGATTTAGACTCCGGTTATGCTGACTTAAACTCAAGTGTGCTACGCCATGCTGTTTGATTGTTTTGTTGTTGAATTGTCTATTTATTTTGTATTTCATCTCATCTTCAAGTTTAAATATTATTTTTGTAAAAAAAAAAAAAAAAAACATAAGAAAGAATAAAACATAAGTGTGCAATTTATGTGCGTCTTTAAATTGTGATGTGAACTGAAAATAAAAACCTGAAAGTAACATGTCTTGTGTCTGTACAAAAAATATCTACATTTTATCTTTTCTATTACTCAAACAAAGGTAGAGTGCTCTTCAAGAAGATCCCTAATTTACTAATGTAATAACACAATAAATTAAAACATATGGAGGTTGTAAGTAATACTTTTCCTCATTACTACTTTATCATTATCAACCTTCTGATTCCTATCTGGGCCTTCATATAGTTGTATGAGCAATGGAGTTGCAAATTTCCTATCTGTAATTTAGGCTTTCATCCAATCTGTGTTCTGCATACAGCAAGTTTTTAAAACGAATGAGTGTATTGTGGAAGTGTCTTTGTTTGTGGGTGCACATCTGAATGCTTTGTACCTGGCCAGCTCTGATAGGCATCACATCCTTTGGTAGCGTTTGTTTGTATTTCCTCTTTGTTGATCTAACAAGGGCCACTCTGTAGTTTCGACAGGCCCAGCATGCATTAAAGACATTGCATTACTGTGACTCCGGCTCACCTGCTGAGGTTTACCCACCAGCATCATAAAGCATTGCACGACTCTCATTCTCCATCTCAATGAGCCTTACAAAGCATGAAAATGGGGGGCTGTTGGCTCCCTTTCACAGCTGAAAAACACAGGCCGGGCCCATCGCCTCCACCCTGGGTGGATATGAGCTGCTAATGACTGTTGTAAAGTCCAGGGGGAAGGAGGAGGAGGAGGAGGTGGGGGAGGTCATCCACAGTTCTGCTGTGGTGTGGATTTTACTCAGTGTGATTCATTATCTTGGAGGCTTCTTGAATCACTACGTCAAACCTCAGACTTACCCAGTTGTATGTTGCACACACACTTCATTTACCCACTTTAATGAGGGAAAGTAAATTGAGATCTGAACAGGAATCTACACTGCTGGGTGAAAAGGTCACTGTGATGAACTTCAATTTCTGAGATATGATGAGGTTATATCTCCCAGAAGACATCTTTTTCATTAAACCCAATAAAGATGAAATCAAATTGTGAGGAACAGGGCAAATAAAATCATCAAAGACAGAACATTAAAAAGAGTCTGCCACAGGATGCTGTTTGGCATCATACATGATGATTCAGAAGGTGGGATTTGTGCCCACATCATTTACGCATATAATCTGTAATTACAGACAAAATGAGATATGATATTTGTCAGTGCACAACACAAAATATTCACAGTACCTGATGTAATGTCCTGGTGGGGTAGCTGGAAATATACTTTGGGAAAAGTTTGGTCCTTTCCCTTAAAATACGTGTTAACAAATAAGGTAAGAAAAGTCTATTGTGTTTGGATGGAGACAAAAACCACTCCGTGTAGCTTCGTCTAGGAGCCTTTACTGAACTGACAACACCTTACACTTTTCGACACTCTGTACATAGTGCAGTGAAAACTTAAAGGCACAGGAACACAATACTGAACGTCTTCAGACATAACAAAGTCCACTTCGATTACTTCTTAAATACTAAGCAGCTATACTGTACTGTAACTTTCTTAAATAAAAAAGGGATACCAGCTTTTCTCTAATGACTTAACTCTGTGTAGGCCTGCTTCTTAATTTTTGTTTTCCCTTTGATATATTTCATTGTAACATGGAGCAATACCTTATAATGAATTACTCTTAACTTCCAAACATGAATTGAAATGTAGTGTCAGTAGTCCTCTCTCATATAAAAATAAAGGATCTTTCATATTTTGATATGATTCATTCCAAATACATTAAAACTAAGCAACTATTTACAACCTTAAAGGTTCTGATAGACATTCAGAACATTAATATAGCAGCAAACAACTATTTAAGATATAGTGGAGTGATGGCATCCTGAGAAGGAAATGAAATCACGCACCCTCTGTATGTCTTGTTTTTCGAATTTCTCTGTTCTTCATTGTGGTACATGGTCTGGCCTTATGTGCATTTGAATCACTGTATATGTGTACCGCCGGCTAGCTAATTACCGCTATTCTGTACTGAGCTCATACAGCGGCCACTGCTGAAAACGCTGGTTCCCCCCAAGGTTAACACCGTTACCCCTGCCAGCACAATTGCAGTTGTTAGCACTGTTTGTGGTATTAGCTTTACTAGCTGCTAGCTGGTGGTTCACCTACCTCCATGTTGAGAACATGTGCATGCAATCCTGACTTAGGGTGCTCTCAGACCCAGCTGTGGTCTGAATCAGGGACTAATTTTGTTACAAAGTTGCATAATTGCCTGGAGTTGGTTCATGCTCTCATGGCAGCATTTACAAGTACACCAGAAGAGAAAGCTGCTCTTGATTGGTCAGACAGGAAGTAAACCAAACATTGAAGAAGAGTACACTTGCAAGTTAAATGCGACACTTTCTAATGTCACAATGGAGGGACAGCTACGCAGGTTGATTTTAGTGCTGGTCATCGTGGACTATATTGTTGTTCATTGTTCATTTAAGTCAAACCATACAGTTTGAAAATGAGGTGCGGCTCCAACTGGAAAACAATGCTTAGGTCCATTGGATGTGCATATCAAGGCAGTACAGGAGGAGGCACACATTAATAATCCTCCAGGACTGTAACATACTCATGTTTAACCCAAACAATGTGTAATGTGACTGTAGTTGGTTCAGATCAATGTCGGAACACGTTCCCACCACAAACAAACTGCACTAGAGTTTGTCTGTACCCAGACTGAGACCACCTCTTCAAGAAGGTCTCATTGTTTTGGTGAGCACCTGAGTGTGATTGCTGTGTTGACACCTGGCCAAATGAATCGCATTAAGGGGGCAATCAAACGTGAGTTCGATTGAACCAAACCAAACAGGGCAGGTGTGAGAGCACCCTCAGACTCATAGATGTGCTCAAAATGTCACATATAGCTCCATAAATGTTAATGTATTGTGCTCCTCTGCTCTGTATTTTGATATAATTATATTGTTCCTGTCTACTGTGTGTGAAGGTTGCCTGAGGTAGATTTGTGATTTAAAGGAGGAACGTTGACTTTCAGTGAAAAGGAGCCTTTTAAAGTCCAGATCTCCATCCACAGGTGACTTTCTTTGTCCTCTATTGACGTGTTGCCAGATAAGCTGGCTGAGGACCTCCTGCTCTGCCACACACAAAGAAGAAACAAGAATGAAAGTGAGCACTTAGTAAAATTCCCTCAACAGGCACATCCACGGCTCCTCTGGGTTTAATCTGCATAGCTCTACATCAATGGGTAATTTGGGCCTTTTAATTGCTCTGATAATGGGTCCAGCAAAGAGCACCAGATCGACCTGCACTCAGATGCCTGTAAAGGCCACTGACGCGGTTAAGTGCATGACATATGTCTTGAGTATCCCCCAGGTGGTACTACGGCTTTAGAATGAAAAGACGCATAAATGCAACAGATTGTTGATCCTGGATGTCCAGTGCTGGTGTCAGCACATCCTACCAGACAACTTAGTTGGGGCTGGCACAACAGTGTGAAACAGGGAGGGAGGAGGGGGACACTCACTTAGGGCTGGCGGGGGGTAACAGATGCAGATGAAACAGCCTTGGAGAGGAAAGCAGCAGTCAGCCTTCATAAAGCTGATGGAGTGGAGGGCCAAATGGAGAGGAACTAGTAGAGACTGGGCAGAATAAAAGTGCATGAGGCAGCAAGCACCACTGAGGGGAGTTCATACAAGGACGGCAATCATCAGTGGGGTTTTTTTCATCAGATTTTCTATTATGTTTATGAGACTGCTGAATTACACAGCAACATGAAATTACATAAAGAGCAACAACACAAGTTCTAAATCCCAAACGGGGATGTAACAATGGTTTTAGGAACATTGTGTTCATCAGACCCCAATTGCTCTTTTTTTTTTTTTTTAACTTATGTTATTTATTTGGTTAACTGTTTCACCCGTTCAGAACCCAATCATGTTCCAATTACAAAAAAGTATTGTAAAGGTGGATTTCGACACTAAATGCACTCATACATCATTAGCAAAATTATTATTTTTTGATTAGGAAACTTAATTATGTGTGTTTTTTATTCTTTTTCCATCTAATCCAGTAGAGGAAGACTCTTAATGCAGAAGTCACCAAATAGGAAAAATGACAATAAATTGTCTTAACAGAGGCATGAGGCATTGTTTAAATACATGTATGCTGATTTGCATTCATTTCCACAACAAAGAACCTAACCCTGGATGAAGCCAGGTTCAATATAATTGTTTCATTTTGTTGACATGATAGCCAAAGGCTTTTACTGTGGGGATTGTGGATATCTCTTTTTGTCACTCCATAAATCAGAAAAAAAAAAGAAAAAAAAAAAATTGGCATGTTTTAGGAATAAAATGCTCTATAAATCAGGCTATGAATGATGTATGAACAAACCCCTTAGTAATAACCTTGACAATAGAGAGGAATAACAGCAGAAAGGTTGGTGTATGTAAATATCACCATAGAAATCCCCTCAACTGATTACTAACATTAAGACGATTATTTTTTTGTTTACGGGTTTTGCAATAGTTCATGTTTAAATATGCCAATGAGGCATTATCTCATTAACTAAGCCCTTTTTGCATACATTTCCACAACAGAAATCTAACTAAAACTAAACTAAAATACCCCAACTGACTTGTGCATGCGTGACAAAAGTCATATATTACTGTCTTTATTAAATTCCAAAACTCATGTCATGAACAGGATACTAAGTTTGCATATCTTGTGTAACAGTGTCTTCTAATACATTGCATTTTTTCCTAAACACTTAACTCTCATTAAATGACAAACAAAAGTTCACTTTAAAACAGAATTGTTCCTGGAGTTTTTCCTATGACAGTGTAATAAGTGATACACAGTGGAGCGGGTGTCATTAAACTTCCTAAATGCTTATATTAAACAGCATAACAATTAACTGAGGCAACAAGCAGAAGCATGAAGCAAAGCTCGACTCAGCTAATGGAAATATTCTAGAACTACCCCTCATTGTGCTCTTTGGATTCAGTAATGCAATAACTTATTGAGAATGAAAGTTCAACAAAGGACACAAAAATAATTACAACAGTGGTTTGGTTTTCATCACAGAAATATCAAGACTCAACATTCGTTAGTGATTCACAGACATGGCAACGTATCATGAGCTGGGGTCTTCAGCCTGTAGCAGCGGCACCTCGTCATTCAGGTACAAACACAAATCAAAACAAATTGTGATGTCAGAGGCACAATACCTAAGGCTCATCCTCACCAACAGAATACATGGAAACATAAAAAACACTTCACAACACAAGTTCAGGATGTAACCACAAAACAAGGCACAATGTTAAAATGTAACAAGTTAACAATCACTCAGTAGTTTGGATGGGAAGAGAACTTAATTACAGTAACTGGCATTAACCAGTAACCACAAAGGTGGAGATGTGAACTAAATTTAAAGGCCCAGTGTGTAGGATTTAGGGGCATCTATTGGCAGAAATGGTAAATAATATTCATAACTATGTTTTTATTAGTTTATAATCACCTGAAAATGAGAATAGTTGTGTTCCTGATACCTTAGACTGAGTCATTTATGTCCACATACAGAGCAGGTCTTCTTTAATGGAGTCCGCCATGTTGTTCTACAGTAGCCTAGATTGGAAAAACCAAATACTGACACTAGACAGGGCGGTTCAGTTTTCACATTTGCCTCCATAGTTATCCTACATGCTTGGCACACAGAAGAAGTTCTGGTTCTGCAACCTCACCGCTTGATGCCACTAGATCAGGGGTAGGCAACCTGTGGCTCCGGAGCCACATGTGGCTCTTTAGCCCCTGTCCAGTGGCTCCTAGAGCCTTTGAGAAAAGAAATCAATGGAAATTCATTCTATGAATCCAAATGTTGCTGAACCTCGATAGCAGTGGCTGGTTAGCTATGGATGCCAAATCCAAAAAAGTAAATTGAATAAAATAGAAAATGCAGTAGTACGTGGACAGATTTGTTTGCTCTCACTGCTAGCTCTGCAAAATTTAAGTACCAGATAATTATTAATAGTGCCCTGTAGTGTCCACCTTGTGGTAAAACATATTAACAAATGCTTATTTAGACCATAAGCATATGCTAATTTAGACTTAATAGGCTATTTACCTTGATTATAAGGCTCAAACATGTTTTGCAGCTCCACACAGATTTTTTAAAATTATTTTTGGTCAAAAATGGCTCTTTTAATGGCAAAGGTTGCAGACCCCTGCACTAGATCCTACACACCTGACCTTTAATTCTCAGCTTCAACAATTTAGCTAAAATGTAAGCACTGGCTGTAAATCTCTGAAGTCTAAACAACATTTCAGAAGATCCTATATCAAAAAATCCTGAAAGAAAAAACCCAGGCTGCTGAGAATCATTCCTATTACCATGTTATTGCATAGCCAGAAGTCTCGCTGCTTCCTGTCCCTTGAGGATACAGAGGTTCTCTCTATGATAAACAATGTAGAGGCAGCTACAGTGACAGGTAATCATGAGGGATCAGTGACAGACAGTAGCATATTAGAAGGTATTCACGGGCAGAGTGTGATTATCTAAGAAGATATTTCAAAAGTAACAAAAAGGTGTGCAAATGTCCTGAACCTGACTGACACTTTGGTTCAGAGGCACTCAAAGTGCAAGAAGGACACGATGCTCTCATAACCATTGCCAAAAAAAAAAAAAAAAAAAATCCTCCATGTTCTTCAACATGCTTTGTCAGAAAAGTGCATGACAGTCTCCAGTGCTCAGACATTGAGTTCAAAACAGCTGCTTCAGTCCTCACTAGAGTCCTCTGAGTTGTCCATGTCCACGTCTTCCCATGAGGCCTTGGTACGCTGCTCCCAGCCCCTGGCCTGGTTGATCACAGCAGGTGGCATGAGCACCACGCAGGCTGCCAGCCCAGAGACTCGCTCCTTAAACTCCGTCTCATTCTCCCACTCGTCTGTGTCGGTGTTGTACACGTGAACGTATTTCATCCTGTTGCCTTTGTCATGAGAGCGTCCTCCCAGCACATAGATGCGACTGTCCAGCACGGCTATGCCGGGTTCTCCATGTCCTGCAGGGAGGGGGGTCAGTAAAGACCAAGAGTTGGCTTCAGGGTCAAAGCATGCCACCTAAGGACAAAAAAAAGGAGAATTACTGCCCTGCAATTGTGTGCATTCACGCACCAGTCAATTTTCTCTTACAGTTTACATGTGTGTCTGTGAAAACATGGATGCTTCACTCACAGAAGATCTACACAATCAGCACAGTTTGAAGGTGGGCACCCACGATAAGAGTCACCCATTCAGTGTCTGACCTAATGTTTCTTTATTATAATTTTATCCTGTTTGACATTTGTGTGAAGTTTTGTTATAATTAGCAAATGAATTCTTGAGTTGTGGCCAAAAACATTTTGTAAGGACACGGTGACCGGAGATACTTCGTTCACAAGGATGGGATGGATGGACAGACAAACCCAAAAAACATAATGACTCTGGCCGGGGCTAATGCTGGCACAGAAGCATAAAAAAGGGAAAAAAAAAATGACTCTAAAATGTTGCCCAAACCTGTTAGTGTGTCAAAAAGCACAGCTCTGGCTCCTACCTAATTCAATTAGTTAACTGCTAGCTTTTTAGCTCACAAAGGCCTTCATCAGAAGGTGAAATAAGAATGGACTCAAAAGATGATTGACTATTTTTTAATTCAAATTTGAAAGATTTAACAGAGCTATAGTTTTGTATTTTTCACTAGTTTTTATTCTTATTTGGATTTTAATTATGATTTCAATTTAGTTACGTTTCAGTTAGTAGTTTTTTGTTAATTTCAGTATTACTTTTAGTTTTCTTTTTTTATAATAAAGTGGCTGGGGTTGTCGGGGGCAAGATAAAGGAAATGAAGGATATGTATTACAATACGAACACTGCACTCTTTGAAGCCAGTTGACTCACAGTCATGTAGACATCCCGTCTCTATAAACGTATGCACCAAAGCCTCCTCATGCTTGTGTTGACAAATTTGACCAAATTGACAAAGACCTAAACTAAAGACATTTGCTGTATATTTTTATTTTAGTGAGTTTTGTGAGTAAACAATATTGTTTCAGTAAGTTTTTGTTTTATTCTACAGTCTAGTTTTTAATCTTCATTTCAGTTAACTAAAATGCTTTTTTTCTACACCTAGTTTTAGTTTGTTGTTATGTTTTAGTGAACTATAATAACCTTGAGACTGGGAGGAGTGAGGGAAGATCAGGAAATCGAGGGCGTGAGACATTAAAAAAAAACTTTTTGCATGCACTACAAATAGAAAACAGAAAAAAAACAAGAATGTCATAATGCAAGAACATCTCTGTGTGAAATGTGAGGAAAAAGAACACAGAGGGCTGAGACAGACTGCGAGACTTAGCACTGCTGTCACAATAAACACCACTGATGACGTGTGACACAGTACCTTCAGGACATCACGTCGATATCTATGCTCATCATTGCTTCCACCAATAACATAAATGCGTCTGTTGACAGCAGTCATGCCGTGCCACGCCCGCTCCACCGGCCCTTCAGCACATGCTGTCCAATGATTGGCCACAGGGTCAAAACTGTAGGTCTCTCTGAGGTACGCCACCCCTCTACGGCCGCATGTTATATACATTTTCCCATCTAACACTGCTCCTGCGTGGGCGTACACCTAGAAGGAAGGTTAAACTAGCATTAAAGGAAGTTCAAGGAGAGGAGAATACCTAGCACATAACAGGAAAGCCCCATTACCAATACACAGGCGGGTATGTAGAACCATCATGTGGATGGCAGCAGTATTACATGCATTGGTTTCATCTTCTCTATTCTCATACCTCTCTCTTTAGGGGTGATACAAACTCCCACACGTTGGTGTGTGGGTCATAGCGCTCCACTGTGTCCAGCTCATTGCTGTAGTCCCGTCCTCCAACAGCATAAATATGGCCGCCCAACACACAAACACAGTGGTCGGCATGCTGCTGCTGCAGAGGCTGGATAGCGCACCAGCTGTTGTGGCGAGGGTCGTATCTGGGGAAAAACCAACAAGTATTAAAACAGTGAAGGAAAAATATGACTTTTAAAATTAAACTAACAAGAGTATGAGCACACCCATTGGACTCTACAGATCGAGTGAAAATAGATTAAATATATATATCGAGCTAAATACCTCACAAAAACTGGTTCTAGCTCCTTCAATGTCAGGTTATGGCGCTTCTCTGTTTTTATATCAGTCTAACTGCATTTCTCTGGACTTTGAACAGTTTGTCAGACAAAGCAAGCAGTCTGAGAACACACTGACATTTGAAATGATTGTTTAACATTCTATAGAGCACGATCAACAAATCATGTGGCTTATATATTAGCCAATATTAGCTTATTGCAAATACACCTTTATCTGCAAATATGTCACCCCGTCGATGATAGGTAACAAGTGACTGCAGCACAGAAATGCCAAAGATATGTTTGCCGTAGTTAAACAGTGATGCCACTTAATAGTTTATGCCCCAGGAACTGTTAAAACACTCTGCTCACTACATACTTTCCTTAGAGAAACTAAACTTAAAATGTTTGTTATTTGTAAAAAAAAAAAAAAAAAGCAGCAAAAACGATCACCACAGTTTGAAGGTGGGTACCCAAAATTAGAGTCACCCATTCAATGTCTAACTAAATGTCTCCCCTTCTGTTCCTGAGTTATGATGTTGAATAACTGCCAGAAAACTGTGCTTGCATTACTTAAATCACAGTGACCTTGACCTTTGCGCACCAGACCTAATCATTTCATTGACCTTTGACCTTTTGGATATAAAAAGCCACACAGACATTTGTGTGAAATTTTGTCACAATTAGTGAATGAATTCTAAAGTTATGGCCAAAAACATGTTTTACAAAGTCACAGTGACCTTGACCTTTGTGCACCAGACCTAATCATTTCAATCTTGAGTCCAAGTGGAGGTTTGTGCCAAATTTAAGGGAATTCCCTCAGGGTCTTCTTAAGATACCACGTCCATGAGAATGAGATGACCAAGCAGCCCGAAAGCAAAGTGCTCCATCCAAGGCTGGTGCAGTGGCAGAAAATAGCTGCTGATTAATCAATCAACTGATCAATTTTTTGAATCATCATTTCAGCTCTAATAAAGATTAACAATAAATTGAGAGAAAGAATCAACAGATTAATCAATAAAGAAAATGAGTGCAAGGTGCAGTCTTAAATAGAACACAATTTAAATCCACCAGCAGCTCAGATCTACACTCTTTTAAACTAAATAAATGGGATGGGCTCTCACCTCCAGCAGCGGGTCTCTGCACGAAACCCACTGGTGTTCTTGTCTCCTCCAATTAGATAAACAAAATTGTTGAGCACAGCAATGCCCTGGTTGGACATTCGGGGAGCGTGAGCTGCAGTGAGTGTCCTCCACTCCCCCCAGCTCGGATGGAACACCTGAAACAAATGCTCGTTGTCTGTGAGGGAGCTGGAGGTGAACATACCCCCAAAGCCCAATATGCAGTGGAGGGTTGAACGTGGCTGGGTGAGAGGGCTCTGCAGGACAGGCTGCCAGATCTCCTGCTCATGGTACCGCAGGGCAGCAGACACAGAATCCTTCAGTGGACACTGGTTCAGTCTGCCAAACAGCCTCTGCAACATGTGTTTCTCAATCAGGCAGAAACGGACAGCATCAAGCATCTTGAGATTGTCCTTTGGGTCAAAAAGATTAAAAAATTAGGTGATTGCCAGTTCAGGCTTATAGAGCTTCAACAAAGTTGGTTAAAACTACGGCACAGTAAAACTAAGCAGGTATATATATAATGTGGAGATGAAAAGATGAGTACAAAATGCCAACACACCTTGGGACTGACCTGCAAGTAGACCTGGTCAGTTTCCACCTGCACAGGACTGTAGTGGTAGTGAAGAGCCGCCTCATACGCCTCATTCTCACTGTTCACCTGAAGTTCGTCACTGTTCAGTGCTCTGAAGACTACATCTTGGGGGAGCTGTCGGTACACGTCGGTGCGAGACAAAGTCTGGATGTTCCTGAGGATGTAGGAGTGGATCCTGGCATTAAGCTGTTGCAGTCCGTACAGATCAGCTAGATTATGGACCTCTAAAACGTTGCTCTCGTCCAGCCAGGAGAAAAGGAAATCACAGCAAAAGCCGATGACAATCTCAAGCTTTAAAACACAAAAAGTACACAGATTAGATGAGGACAACATTTCAAAGAACAATGTGATCTGGCAAAAGAACAACAAAGAGCTCACCTGAACTAGCGTGGCAGCTATCAGGACTTCCTGCACACACTCCAGGTCTAACTCGATCTCTGAAGTGTAGATGTAGTCAAGTATTTTCTTCATGGCCATGTAGGATACTCCATGAATTGGGATCTCCTTTTGCTGTGTCTCCCGAAGGCCCCCAGCAAACATTCCCCTAGTGAAGAACAGTGACATATTATTATGGCTTATGGTGGGTAATCTGGTGGCCTGGTTGCATTTCACGTGGCCACAATCATCCCAATTTCAATGCTGCCTGGTACTTTTGCTGCATGATATTCACCTGATATCGTATTGTTTTCTCTGTCATTTTCAACTATGAACTGTCTGATTAAGATGAAATACCAAAAAACAAGGTTTCTGTTTAGCCGAGAAATACCCTGAAAAACCAGGAAAGCAATTCTAATAGTCCTGATGCTGAGATTTCTGTAACTATCAGAAAACCTTTTTAAGCCTTCAACCCACGGATGGATTACTGAACGGACCTACTGAGCATTGGCCCAGGGGACCAAAGTTTCAGGGGGGGGCCCCTGGCCTTAACCTGCAAAATGTCACTCAAATTAACACGTACCAACCAGGAAAAGACCCAAAATGACCACAGAGAGACACGACATAGACCACAAAGATATGCATAGGAACTGCAGAGAGACGCGAAATAATCACAAATGACACAAAATGACTGCAGAGCGACACAAAAGCCCCCCAAAAATACACAAAATTACCTTAAAGAAACACAAAATTACCTCAATGAGACACAAAATTAGTTGAAAGAGACCCAAACGACTAAAAAAAGACACAAAACAACCAAAAGGAGACACAAAAACCTAAAAAGATGCTTAACAATTATAAAGAGATGCAAACCCGTAACAAAGTCTATGTGTCTCGCTCTTATGTAGGAAAGGTGGTGGGCTCCATTGTTTCATATTCTACCCAGGAATCAACTAAATCTTCATTGAATGTACAGCTCCTCAGTGTTTTTTACTTTTCAACTGCTGGTACAAAGAACACCTGATACAGTAAAGCATCTCTTTAAAGGGACATTAGAGCCTTATCTTTGCCTACTTTTAGCATTATAATGGGATTAAAGGGCTACCTACCAACAGTAGGGCTCTGGTTTATTGGAGCAATGAATACCACAGAGAAGTATTTTCCTCTCCCTGTGCACAGTAAGCTACACACCAATACAAAGTACAATACTTGACTTCACATTCAATACACCTATCTGTATCACTCCCTTATGTCATATATACACTGCTGGCTGACTGGACATTAGTGATTGTGTCTGTGACCTACTCAGTGTTGTCCTTGAAAGCTGCAGGTTAATATATTTAGGTCATGATTGACGCAGACAAGTAAACATAAATAAAGTACAAGTAAACAGAAACTACTAAGTAAACTTAAAATGTGCACACCACTGCTGATCAGATGACAACACAGATATGCTGCAGGGGATGGAGAAAGAGGAGAAACTTTGTTTAAACTGGACTCTGTACCAAGCCTTGACTGCTGACACCTGCACTTGTTGATTACAATGTGCTGTTGTTTATGTAACTAGACAGGAATAAATAAAGCAAATGGGCTTGCAGTCACAGTCAATGGTCTGCATGTCAGTGCTGCCTGTACACAGAGTGCTACTCTATGTGCTTCTTTGTTTTTAAATTGATTGGTATTTGCATGGGTGGAAACACAAGTGCATGGGGTGCATCTTGCTGATGCAGCTACACAAATAAATAAAAATAGAACTGAATTGAGAAAACTGAAGTAAAGCAACAATGAGACTTGCTGTGAGTTTTACCTAAAATAATCGCAAGAGGCTGCCAGAAGTATACGGTGGGCTTGGATGGGTCGACCCTCCACCAGCAGCACCACATCAAACAGAGTGCCACTTTGTCTGAGAGCCAGCAGGCCGTCCAGCAGGCTGCGGAAATGGGCTGAACTTTTGTAGGTCTGTCGGCCCAGGCGGCCTGATGAGCCAGCGCGTCCTCCCATTGGGCTCAGCTTTCCATCCTCAGCCATGGCAGGGTGCTGATGTTCAGGCTTCATCACTGTTATCTGTCCAGTACTAACACCATTCTAAGTTTTCTTCACATAGTTGTTATAAATTTAAGCCACAACTGCTGTCGGCATGTAGAGAAATACACACGGACACAAGGAACAGGCTGGGCAGCTAGCGGCTAAAGGGTAGTTGCTGGAAATGTCAGTGTAACATTAACGTCACAGATCTATAGCAAGTTACGCACAAGATTCACGCCAGTATCTAGCCTACAGTGCAATTAGAAAACGTGAAAGCATACAACTACATACATACGCCCTGCCGTCGCCCTGCAGCTAGCTGCCACTGCTGTCAGCTAACGTCAAGTTAGTTAAAACATACAGTAATCTAGCATGCTATCAGCAGGTTAGCCTGCTAGCTGATGTAACGCATTATAAAAACACCGAGCCAGACTCTTAAAGACACTGGAAAACTGAGGCAACACGACTGCACGAAAATATCTTCGTGTTCATCGAAAACAAACCGTTTTGCGTTTACACTTTGGTCACAGTGACATCAACTCCTGCGTGAAACGACTAGCACAGTCGCCTGATTTTTTGACAGATCAAAACAAGTCTGTTTACTTTTTGGTGTCGGACAGTGAGCTCGCACGCTATTGGTCGTTGCTGCCGTACTGTCCCGCCCAGTTTCCTAGAAAGAGCCAATCAGAGGCCACTGTCACTCTGCAGACAATAATATAGTTGTTTCAGTTTGTCCTTTAACATAATAGTGTTAGAGTGTGCAGAATTAGCCATTAGATTATGTTTAATCTCTAATTTAGTTCATGTTTTTAATACTGATAAAAAGAAGTATTTAGTTCAAGATAGGTTTAGATAGTGCGACTCTTTTTCTAAACACAAGAGGATGCTGTTTCCTGCTGAAATGTCTCTGAGGCCAGTTCCTCTGGGTCTCTGTGTCATACAAATACACCTGAAGCTGAAAGCAGTCCAAAGTACATTTGCTCTTTACTGTGCATAAGTAGTCAGTTTTGAGCCCACTTAAATAAGCTATTTGCATTTTCTGTGACTTTACACATCTACTCCACTACCACTCAGGGGTCAGTATGAACCGTTTTTGCGTCATTGCTTTTTTCAGTGGCTCCAGTTACCAGCTATTACAAAGATTGATGTACTACACAGCAGTAGTTAGGCTATAAGGACCGCCTGAACCCATGAACAGTTTATGTGACAACACGCTCTTGGGTACACACATGTAAAAGGCCCCACCACCTCTCCTCCGTAGGACAGAGACTGACAGACAAAGTAGTAGTAGACACAGTAGGCCTAGTAGTTGTAGTCATTTTGTGTCTTTGCATCTCTTCCTGGTTGGAATTTTGCAGATGAAGGCCGGGGGGGCCCTGGGGCTTTGTCAGGTAAGCCCATTCATACAATCGTGCCTGTACCAGTTACATTACAATAATATATAATAATTATTGCATAAATAATTAAAAGGTAATAGGTAATATTTATGTACTTCCTCTCTTAATATTAGACATTAACTTGTCTGTAATGGATTACAGTATGGTATTGCTTACTTTTTTCCTCCACTTACTGGCACAATTTACCTACTTTGAATCACAAAATTGCAGTGAAAGCAGTTCTATCAAAAGTTTATTTAAACAAGAAAAATATATCTTTGTCTGTAAATAATAAATTTAGGTGACAAACAAAAAAATCAAAATGGAAAGAATTTTGATTTGCCAAGTCTAAAGTAATTCTTATCATTCTTGCCAACTGTTTGTTGGATATAGCGTTTTTGCCCCTCCAATATTTGGTCTCCATCTGATCAAATGCTTTCCAGATTGATTTCCCAGGGTTTGATAATTGCATGAGCTGCCAAATAGATTTTCTAAGGCAGCCAGTCAAGATGTTCTTTTTTTTTTTTTTATAAAAAAATTGAGGCTTCCTTATTGCTTAGGTTTTACAGTCTCATTCATCTTCAGCCGAGGTTTCAATTTGCATATATCATTTCCTGACATGAAGAGTGGAGATTTTTCCACTCGCAAAAACACTGTAGGAATAATCAATCACTTGATTTATTTTCCAGTCTAATATACATTGCAGTGGAGTGCACATGGGGAAATGAAGGGGAGAGCTCCCCTGGCTTTTTGTCTTGGGTGCAGAAATGCCCTTTTCAAATAACAAAATCATTCTTTTTTCCCCTCACACACCTGTCATGTGGCTGAGGAAATGCCCTATCATGAAATCTGCAAGTAGCAGAGCCCATAGCCACTCCCCTAACAGTAAACATGCACACCGCTGACACAATGCATACTACTGTGACTCCACCAAAAATTATTTCTCCATTAGTCAGTCATCAGGAAAATAACAATTTTGATGATCAATTAACAGTTGAGTAATTTTTAAAGCAAAAATTCCAGACATGTCCTGTTTCCTCTTCTTTATCCATTTCTGGAAAAAAATAATTTGGACAAAATCAATTTAACAACATCACCTTTGGTTTTAGGATATTGTGTTGTGCATTTTCCACAAAATTCTGACATGTTCTAGACTGAACTGTTAATTGATTAATGGGAAAAAAAGTCAGTTGCACATTAACTGATATTGAAAATGACTTGGCTGCAGCCCTAGTCACAACCTTTTTCTTTAAAGGGCCAGTGTGTAAAATTGGTTGAAAACAGTGACATCAGTGGTCAAATTCTAGATTGCAGGGCTCACTCGCTCACCCCTCCTGTCGGGTAAATGACAGTGGCCTCGTAGGGACAAAAAGCCTTGCGCAGACACGAGTTTTTCAGGAGTAGGTCTATCTAGCGACAAGGTGAATGTTTATTTAGAAATCTAAACCATGTTACAATATTGTAATGAATCCCTCACGAGCAGGAGACCAGAGTAGCGTTCAGAAAAAAGGCCAGTTTATTTGAGCACTCCAAAAACTCTGGTAACACTCCAGGGGGTAAAAGACTCCGTCCCAAACTCTGACTCTTCTAGCGTAACACACACAGTTCATACACACATACCCCCTCCCCTCTCTGCTCCACCAATCTCCAGCCCGCACACTGACTGACAGCGTAGCTGGTAAACAGTGCTCAGCTGTTTATTTAGCCTAGCAATATCTCCGGACTATAGTAGCTGCAATGGACGACTTTGAACGCGATTTTGAAGAGTTTCTTGTAGCGGACACAGACCCAGAGCCATACCTGTTTGAGCCAGAGCATACAGATGAGGAACTTCGATGCTGAGCGGGGGAGAAGAGAGGCTGAATCCTCCGCTCCCATTTTGCTGCACAGAATGGGATTCGGTGCTACTGCTGCCATCGTTGGGGAGATATATCATCAGGAGGAAAAGCGCCGCAGAGAGTGCATCACAAGGAGTGAAGTTGCGTCTTCTTTTCCTCACAGATGATGGTTCGGGTTCATTCTCTCCTGTTGCGTGGTAAGTGTGGTCCATTTGCAAACTTTATAACTAAAAAAACTTTTCACTACTCTCTATCGACGAACTACTAACACTCTGCTGTTTCCTCCTCCTTCCTTCCTTCCTTCCGCTGTCTTCGTTGGTTTATTTATACACGCGAAACGCATTCTCTGGCTGGCGCAAGATGGCGACCTCTCTAAATATATATAAAAGCATAATTATAAGGCTACAAAAACCAAACAAATTTTATTTTATAGCAATTATACACTTACATAAACATATTAATGGGTAGAATATTCAGATTCAGATTCAGATTTGACAATAAACCATGCCAAATATTACACACTGGCCCTTTAATCTTTGCAAGTATCCACAGTGTCACAATGTCAACAGTGTTAACCCAGAAAAAAGTATTAGTCATCAGTCACAGACAATAAAGGTAATGCTGCAGGTCAAGGACTGATTATAGAACAGGCCTACCGAACACAGGCCCAAGGTCCCAAAGTGTCAGGGGGCCCCGTGGCCTTCATTCGCAAAATGACCACAAAACACAAAAACACAAAGAGATGAAAAGGAACTACAAAAAGACACAAAACAACAACAAAGAGACACAAAATGGCACAAAACGACCCTAAAAGAAAAGTACAAAAATGACCTCAAAGATATTTTGTGAATTGGGATTTTCTTTTGCTGCGTCCCCTGAAGGCCTCCAGCAAACATTCCCCTAGTGGAGAACAGTGATATATTCTAAAATGGCTTCTAAATGGCACAGTGACCCCCGATTCAATTCTGGCGGTATTATTGCTGCACTATATCCACCTGTCTTTCTCTTACTGGTTTTCCTGTCATTTTCTACTTTGGACTGAGTAATTAAGACAAATTACAAAAACAAAAGGCCAGCAGAAATCAGTCAGGAAAGCAATTCTAAGCTCCTGATGCTGAGATTTCTGTGCTCATCCAAAAACCTTTATATGCTTTCAATCCATAGATGGACTACTGAATGGATCTACCAGGCACAGAACCATGAGCCCAAAGTGTCAGGGGACCTCCTGGACTTCACTTGTAAAATGTCACTCAAATTACTACCCATTGGGATGAGACTCAAAATGACCACCAAGAGACCCAAAACAACCAAAAGGAGACACAAATCCCACAAAATATGCATAACAATTATAAAGAGATGCAAAACCACCACAAAGTCTGTGTATCTTGCTCCTATAAGAGGTGGTGGGGCCCATTGCACATCTGTGCCCAGCAGCCCATTGCCTCATAATCCGCCCATGCTGAAAGTGATACCACCTTTTCATTTGTCTTTTGTTCAACATGCTAACTGTGCCCATAAATATTACTGTTTTCCAGGAAGATATTTATCTTGACTTTTATAGTGAAAACTTGAAATTATTCTACAAAGGAATGCTTTTATTTTCTACAATAAAGTGTCAAACCTTCCAAGCAGTGAATATCACACACAGATGCACACTTCACTTTTTGATTGCTCCACATGAATTTAAAATATTGTTCCCACATTACTCACTGATTAGGATGACATAATCATAGGTACACTACAAGTGATAAAGTTTAGGATTGTGTTAGTGCTGATGTCAGTCAATGTCAAAGACTTCAAGCATGGATTTTGTTTGTGTTGGATCTCCTTGAAGGTCATGGAGAGCCTGGTTTTGCCATTATTGAAAGTAGAGCATTCCAGTAGATTAGCAATGGACCGTCTCCTCTCATCAGGAAAAGGCTGTGCAGAAGGCGAGCCACAGTCTGCAGGAAGACATGACAAAAGAATGAAAACAAAGTGGGTTGCATTTACAGAATTAACTGTCAGTCTATTCCGCAAACAGACTTTAAATAGGCATGTTGGCTACAGCAGTTACTAAGACATGAGAAAGTCCATAACCTTGAGCTTTTATGGGCATCTCTGTTAAACAAATCCTGCAATTGTTAAATTGTTTAACCTTCATGAAGGAGGCCATTTCACGGTGCCATTAGTGGTCATTTTATGATGAGCAGAGTTAAAGAGTAGTAAGGGCACATCAGGTTCTAATAAGAATAGTGCAGTGCAGCAGGTTGCTGGAAAAACACGAATGTCCTAGCCACGCTTCACAGCACGTCTCCCCTACGCCATATGATAGCAAACTGGCAGACCAGAGGACAATACAACTGATTAGTCTGGGACAACACAGCTCCAGTGGTGCCATTC